GGCGGTTAAGTGCAGCAATGGCAGGGAAGGAGTATTGTAAGAAAAATTCCTTTTGCTTATTTCGCGCCCCTGCTCAGCGCGTACATCACTGTAGCATCACAGTCAGCACCGTTACCACTCGCAACCATCGCATCGACAATCCTCCCACCACCTTCGCACCTTGCATCTCGACCGCACGGCTCGGCAGGTAACCTGCGCTCCGGGTCTCCGCCTCGACATTTCCCAACCACAGTCCCAACCTCAGTTCCAGACCCGTCGCGCGTCAACCACAGTTCATTACCGTTACCACTGTAGTTTCGCTATATATTCTTCGCTCATGCCTTCGCTCATTGTACTCTTGCTTCGATAGTGCAATTCTCGTTTGATCACTCATAACACTTGGTATCAGAGCCTACGATCTCTTCTCGGACCGCACCAACACCTTCGCTTCCCCACTATCTCAATTTTTGGAGGGGGTAGATGTCTCTCAGTGACACAGCACCGCCGCTCGTAGTGCTCTCTCGTAAGCACGCATGGCCACTACAGAGGCTCTTACTGAGCTTGCCCGACACCCCCGCCATGGCTGAATTCACTCTCGCGACACTGACGTAGGAGCAACTGGACCGTCTCGTACGCCAAGTAAAAAAATCGGCGCTCGAAATTGCGACGCTCACGGCGGAACGTGACTCCGCGCGTCAGCAATCTACGGTGAATACTCTGGCGCCACCACACGCACCTGCCAATGCACCTGCACAATCGGAGGAGCCGATCATCATTTTATCAGGCACACCGGCACAGAATGACAGCGTGGGACAGCGCTCAGGCGCAGCCAGTGATGGCGCCGCCCACTCAATGCCTGGCATGGAGAGGAACAGGGTTGCGCCAAGCCCACGAGAGCCTCGTGAAGCCCGTCGGCACGTGGAATTCGCGGCGACAAGTGGCGACCACGCCATCATGGCGCCAATGCCGCTCAAGCCGCAGCGCCCCCCTTGCTTCAACCCGAGCCAGCGTGGAGGTCCGAAGGTTCAATTGTGGGTCTTCACGATGAACGTCTTCTTCGGCGCGAATTACGTCGAGTCGGACGCAACAAAGATCAGATACGCCGTCTCGCTGCTGAGGGGCCCCGCCATGGACTGGTGGCGAGTCATCATGACGTCGCCATGCGCCTACGAGCCACCGTCGCAAGAGGAAGGGCACGCGGGTCCAGCCGTCACCTGGAGTTCATTCTGCGAAACCGCCCAGTAGAGCATGTGGGACGCGTGGTGCGCAGAGCTTCGGGTGCGCTTCGAGCCGATTGCGGCTTCTATTTCGGCGCGTCAGAGACTGCGTACTTGGCGGCACCTCAGATCGGTTCAAGACTACACAAGCGGTTTTCTCGTATTATGCGAGCAAGCCGGCTACATGCACAAAGCGGAGTGAGTGGACCGTTACGTCGGAGGGTTGAAGCCGGACATCTCGCACAAAATCATGCTACGCGGACTCTCGAATGTCAACGAGATTCTCGCGCTCGCCTAGAAAATCGACATTTTGCGCAGTCCGAGACCGGGGTCCTACTACGACATCGCCCTCAGGGACCGATCGAGCACGCCACCGTACATGCCGTTGCGACGAATGCAGCTGCCGCGCCGTTTAAGGGGCGCTGCTTTGCTTGCGATAGGCCCACCGACGCTCACCGAGTCACAGTACCGATTCATGCTATCGATCGGGCTCGGACGAAAAAGGAGGGTACAGCGACGGATTGCCCAGTACTGATCCATGGGAGAATACAGGGAGCAGCAGTGAAGATTTTTATCGACGGAGGAGCAAGTCACAGTTTAGTTAATACCGCAACCGCACGAAAACTGCAACTGTCAATTAGCCGGTGCTTACCGGAAATAGACGCACGCTTAGTTGATGGCACGCCACTGGCCATACGCAAGAAGGTGGAGAGAGTAAAAGTCCGCTGAGGGGGGAACTTCGGGTTTACACAGGAAATGCTCGCAACGACATTGGATGGGCACGACATTTTACTGGGACGTGATTGGCTGCGACGGTATAACCCGCGAATTGACTGGACGACGGGTAGGTGCACTGTGCGAAGTAGCGGTAACTGGGTCGAGCTACCTCGCTGGCAGTCGCCTGAGTCTTCGATGGTACACGTCAACGCCGTCACCATGAAACGGGCTGTTATCGCTGGAGCTGACGTGTACGCAGTAGACATTGCAGTGGTAGAGGAAGCAGAGCAACCAAGCGATTTCAAGAAACTGCTGGCAGCAGTACCACCCAAACTACAGGAACTGTTGAAACGATAGCCGGGGATCTTCCCCAATGATTTACCGGAGGGACTGCCACCTCAGCGAGCACACGACCACCGAATAGAATTAGAACCGGGGGCACAGCCAACCGTACAGCGACAGTTCAGAGTGACACAACCCGAGCTCGACGAACTGAGGAAGCAGTTAGTTTACATGCTAGAGAAAAAAATTCATCCGACCGGGTTCGTCACCGTTCGTCGCACCGATACCGTTCAGACGGAGGTTTTCGCATGTGCATCAATTACCGAGCACTGAACAGGGTAACAGTCAAGTCGCGATACCCCATTCCCCGCGCCGACGAACTGATTTACCAACTCCGAACAGCACGGGCTTTTTCGAAAATAGATTTACGGGGAGGTTACCATCAAATTAGGGTCGAACCATCGGACTGCGCCAAAACAACTGTGAAAGTTTAGAAGAAAGAAGAGGGTGTCAGAATGTTATCTTATGCTCTAGCCTGTAGTGGGGTGCTCTATAGCGAGTACAACCCTTCTAGGGTTTGCTATTTGTATCCTCATTCTTGCTAGTTCAATCCTCTTTCTTCTTCTAACTTATGACAGAGGGTTGCACTAGCAAGAATGAGGATACAAATAGCAAACCCTAGAAGGGTTGTACTCGCTATAGATCACCCCACTACAGGCCAGAGCATAATATTCTGACAACAACTTTTTAGACTGGGTATGGGTCGTTCGAGTACACCGTGATGCCCTGTGGGCTGACCAACGCATCGGCAACATTTCAGATGACCATGAACGAGGCATTTAGGCCACTTTTAGATAAATGCGTGATAGTTTACCTCGACGATATCCTCGTCTACAGTCGCGACAAGCAGCAACACTTAGCAGATCTGGAGGCGATGTTTAAAATTTTAGGCGAGCATCGACTACTGACAAAGGGTTCCAAGTGCGAGTTTCCTCGGGAAAGACTAGAGTTTTTGGGGCACGTTATTTCGGAGGCTAGGGTCGAAATTGACCCCAAGAAGCTAGACACGGTAAAAGTGTGGCATCCCCCGACGAATATCACGGAGCTGCAGAGTTTTTTGGGCTTCGTCAATTACGTGCGTCGGTTCGTCCCCGATATGGCACGCTTAACAACACCACTCACGGACTTACTGCGCAAGGGGGTCGCTTTTATGTGGGGGGAGAAAGAGCATGCTGCCTTCTCTGCCCTGAAAAATGTTCTCTGTTCACCGCCCGTACTGTGCATCGCCGACCCACACAGCCCCTTCGAAGTTGTTACAGACACTAGCGACATCGCCATCGGAGCCGTACTGCTACAAGACTTCAGCAACAGCCTACTGCCCATCGCATACGAGTCACGAAAACAACATTCGCCTGAGAAAAATTACCCGATACACGACCGCGAAATGCTCGCGATCGTGCATGCATTCAAACTATGACGTTGTTACTTGACCGGCACAGACGTGACAGTACGGACAGACCATAAATCACTACAGTACCTCCGCGCACAGCCACACCTCAACCCACGACAAATCCGCTGGCTCGATTTTCTCGAGTCCAATTTCCATTACACAGTCACCTACAAAAAAGGGGCATCAAACATCGCCGACGCACTGACTCGCCCCAGTGCCCAGCTCCATGCAATACTACTTGCCCAGACCAGCCCACTACTGACAGGACTATTTTCCCACGTGTACCAAACGGATCCATTCTTCACAGGAAGAAATTTGCAGCAGTTCGCAACAGCAAAGGGGATTTATTACGTAAAAGTTGGGACCGACTGCATCTGGGTACCAGAGTATACACTGCTACGGAAACTACTGTTACAAGAGGCACACGACGGAGTTACCTCAGGGCGTTTCGGGGTAGAGAAAACACGGCAGCAGCTGCAGCGGTATTATTAATGGCCCGAAATGTTGACTAACGTACATCGACACGTGGCATCGTGTCCCACTTACCAGCTCAGGAAATCATCACGGAAGCGGCCGACAGGACAGTTACAGCCGATACCACCCCCAGAGCGTGCTTGGCAGCAGGTGACGATGGACTTCGTCACGGGGTTACCGGCCGGAGCGAGTGGGAACGACGCGATCCTGGTCGTCGTCGATCGACTGACGAAAATGACACACTTCGCAGCCTGTAAGAAATCAATCCGTGCGGCCAGCAGGGGCAGCACGCAGGTGGCGTGCGCGAGGCAGTGCGACGCGGGGTAAGGCAATGGGGTAACGCGGTAACCACAGTCGGAATGGTGGGCCCGAAAAAATAAAACGGTCCTACGGACGACTGCTCTGAAACCATGTCAAAATGAGAAGCTAGAATGACTGCATTGAATGAATTGTGGGTACAAGTACTAACCCTAACATTGGGTTGTACCCCATACAGGCTACCTCACTGTAGCCTACACAGAATTAGCACAGATATAGTTTGACATGCACATCGTACTCAGCTGCTGTTGAACTGCTATCAAACTACACGTGACCCGCATTCGGATCGCAGAATATCCACATAGGCCCGGATAGCTGCAAGAAACTCCCGGGCAGCAGCGCTCCTAGCTGTTTTTTTTGCAGCCCCACATCCAACAAACTGTAAAATCTGCCCGTCTATTCGAACTGAAAGGACGGAGGTGTGCTGCAAAGTGCTCCCAGAAGAGTAGTTATCCGTCCATGAGACTTGGGAAGACATTGCTACAGCCAGCTCATTCAGAGCTTGTAGCGAGACGCTCTTAGAGTGGACATCTGGTTCAAAGATTCTTTTCCAGCTGTAGCAATTAATACCTGAAAAAACACACAGAAGCGGGAGGGGAACGAGAGACGAGAATGGGGAACTTTCAAGGCTGCCTAACAAGCTCAGGAGAAAACAAAGAAAACAGAATGCAAGAGCAAGGACAATTTAGTTGGTAATTCAAGCTATAAGAGGACAGGTGGCATTACAAGAGGAGGACACTGGGAAACTGTACTTGGGGTTGCCTACAAACTGTTTTCCATGTTCATAAAAATGATAATCACGACAGGCATGATATCCTTGAATACGCACCAGTTGCTGTGATGAGCCTTCTGAGTGTTGCTTGTGTGGCGGGCTGACGGATAGGCAGGGCTTGATGACGAGCTAGAGCTTCTGCTGCTGGTGCTGCTGCTGGTGGTGGTAGCACCGGTGCTGGTAACGCTGCTGCTGGTGCTGCTGACGCTGCTTGCGTGGCAGCCTGTCGGATAGGGAGGGCCTGAGAAAGTGCTGCTGCTGCTCGTGCTGCTGCTGGTGCTAGTGCTGGTAATGCTGCAGCTACTGGTGGTGCTGCCACTGCTGCTCTTTGTGTGGCGGCCTGTTGGATAGGCAGCACGTGAGACTGTATGGCTGATGGCGGTGCTCCTGGTAGCGCTGGTGCTGGCAATGCTGCTGGTGCTGCTTCTGCTTCTGCTGCTGCTGGTGCTGCTTGTCTGGCGACCTTTCGAAGGGGCACGGCTTGAGGATGGGCTGGTGCTGCTGCTGGTAGCGCTGGTGCCTGCGCCATTGCTGGTAATGTTGCTGTTGATGCCGCTTGTGTGGCGGCTTGGCGAAGAGGCAGGGCCTGGTGACGGGGAGGTGTTGCTGCACCTAGTGCTGCTGCTGCTGCTGGCGATGCCCGTGCTGGTGCTTCTGGTACTGGTGCTGCTGCTGGTAGCGCTGCTGGTAGCGCTGCTGGTAGTGATGCTGATGTGCCCTCTCTTCTCTGATCCCCCCACAAGTCCTCCACTCTCACACTCACTCTCACCCTCTTCTCGCGAGCCTGCAGCTCCCAAGCCACACCACCACTTGCCGAGCCTGACTGCACCAAACCTGCAGACCCGAGCTGTGGGAATTCCGAGCCTGGAATCCCCGAAGGGGAGATAGATGCAGTAGGATTATCAGATTTATCAGGGTTTTTTGAAGGGGAGATAGATGTAGGGTCGCGGGGAGAGAGGGGGTGTGCGGTGGAATGGGAGAGAGGGAGGGTGGGTGGGTCCAATCGAGCAGCAATTGACACCACTGACTGGTCTTGCTGTTGCTGTTGCTGTTGCTGTTGTTGTTGCTGTTGATGTTGCTCCTGCTGCTGCCTCTCACACTGCTGTTGCTGCTGTGGCTGCTCTTGCTGCTGTTTCTGTTGTAGTATCGCTGCTGCTGCCTGTGCTGCTGCTGCTTGTGCTGCTGCTGCTGCCTGTGCTGCTGCTGCCTGTGCTGCTGCTGCCTGTGCTGCTGCTGCCTGTGCTGATGCTGTCTGTGCTACTGCTGTCTGTGCTGATGCTGTCTGTGCTGCTGCTGCCTGTGCTGATGCTGTCTGTGCTGCCTGTGCTGATGCTGTCTGTGCTGCCTGTGCTGATGCTGTCTGTGCTACTGCTGCGTGTGCAGCTGCTGTGCGTACTTGCACTGCTGCTGCCCGAGACTGTGCTCTTGTCTGCAATCGATTCGCAGCCTGCACCTCTGCTGCTGGTACTGCCGCCACTGCTGCTGCTGCTGCTGCTGCAACTGGTGGTGGTGTTGCTGCTGCGCCCTGCTTCGGCTCTGATGCTGTATGCCACTGTTCAGATTCCTGCTGCTGCTGCTCCTTCCGCTGCTGTTGCTCTTGCTGCTGCCGCAACCCCTGCTGCTGCCGCTGTTGCTGTTGCTGCCGCTGCTTCTGGTGCTGCTGCTGTTCCTGCTGCTGCTGCTGCTGCTGCTGCTGCTGCTGCTGCTGCTGCTGCTGCTGCTGCTGCTGCTGCTGCTGCTGCTGCTGCTGCTGCTGCTGCTGCTCCTGTTGCTTCGGCTGTATTGAAACCGTTTGCTCCTGACCCTTCAGACTCTTCTTATTTTTCAAATTCTTCATGCTTTGCGTCTTCCGCTGCTGCCTCCTCTTCTGTGGATTCAACATACCGTTTTCCTGCAAGTCACAGCGACAAGGTATTTACACATAAAGAAGTGTCCAGTCAAGCAGTCATACTGAGCTGATTCCATTCCAGCTGAATTTACTAATATTCTCAAAGTTGCAACCATGACTCATCATCAGCCGCTTTCCTAGCCAGCTCAGCGCAGCAGCCTTTTGAGCAAGCTCAGCGCAGCAGCTTTCCGAGCCATGATCTCGTGTGGTCTCAACGCAACTGCCACCTCCCTCCCTCCCACAACAGCCTTACACCTCCAACACTCCATCTCCCTCCTTACAGCCAATCCAAGGACCAGTAAAGTGGCCTACCACTCAACTCACCATCATTGTCTTGATCCCTTATAGTGCCGGCTCACCAGTAGCCTTCCTACCTAGCCATGCCCTTGTGCTTGCGTTGACTCGCATTGACTCTGGAACCAAGGACCAATAGTAGCAGCCTGCCTGACTCACCATCATTTTCTTGATTTCTTCTAGTGCTAGCTCAGCAGCAGCTTTCCGAGCCATACTCTTGTGTGCTTTAACTGCCATTGCCACCTCCCTCCCTCCCACCACAGCTTTACACCTCCACCATTCCATCTCCCTCTTCCTCCTCCACCCCTCTTCTTCCTCCCCCCATTCCTCCTCATCTCCCCCCTCTCCTATCATGTCCCCCTCCCTCTTCCCTTCCTCCTCTGCTTCTCCCTCTTTTTTATCTCCTGCCCCAGGTTTCCGGCATTTCTCAACCACCAGCTTCCCGCCGTGCCCCAGTTTTCCAGTCAGCTCAAAGAAAAGCGAGGTGGGCGGGCGGGTAACAACAGAAGCAGCAGTGACACGGGTGGGGAAGAACCGGGAAAAGAGTCCCCACACCCTCTCGGTGTCAAACCCACAGTCCACTAGCGTTGCCCCCACCAGAGACTCTAGCATGTCTCCTATGGCCTGAGGAGGAGTGTGTGGAAAAGTAGGGGGGAGGGGAGAAGGAGACGAAGTTAAGGGAATAAGCGCAGAGCAGAGGCAGCAGTGACACGGGTGGGGAAGAACTGGGAAAAGAGCCCCCACACCCTCTCGGTGTCAAACCCACAGTCGACCGGAGTCGCCCCCACCAGGGATTCGAGCACGTCTCCTATTGCCTGAGGAGTGCAGGGGGGTGCAGAGGGAGGGGAGAGTGCTGAAGAGTGCCCACACCCTCTCGGTGTCAAACCCACAGTCCACTAGCGTTGCACCCACCAGGGACTCGAGCACGTCTCCTATGGCATGGGTGGTGTGCGGTGGTGTGCGGTTGAAAGGTGATTGAGAGAACGTGGAAAGATCAGAACCGAGAAAAAATATGAATGTGAAGAGCATCAATATTTGAGTCGACTTGAGAACTGAGAGGTAAGTGAGAGAATGTAACAAGATGACAACCAAGAGAAAGATGGAGGTGAGGAACATCAGAAGAAATTATGAACCATGGGGCCGCTCCGATCTGTTGAGAATAATAAACTGCCGACACATCACTGAAGGCTTGGAAATGTTGAGTCGACTCAGAAGAAATTATGAACCATGGGGCCGCTCCGATCTGTTGAGAATAATAAACTGCCGACACATCACTGAAGGCTTGGAAATGTTGAGTCGACTCAGAAGAAATTATGAACCATGGGGCCGCTCCGATCTGTCGAGAATAATAAACTACCGACACATCACTGAAGGCTTGGAAATGTTGAGTCGACTCAGAAGAAATTATGAACCATGGGGCCGCTCCGATCTGTCGAGAATTTGTCATCAATGGATAGGGGGGATAACAGCATGTGCATGTACCTATAACTCAAACCAACCGCAGTGATTGCACTTTTCCTTGCGAGCCTCCCACTTTAGGAGCCTGCACTCCGCAAGCCCTCCCCAAATTGATCCAGCTGACTTTGAGTCGACTCAACAATGCACCTTCTTCTTACAACAACTTTCTTCTTAAAGAGCCACCCACTTTAGGAGCCTGCACTCCACCCTCCCAAAGTATCCATCCAGCAGACTTTGAGTTGACTCAGACTGTACCTCCCCATGAAAAAGAAAGGCTTTCCCTTTTGAGAGCCACACACCTTAGGAGCCTGCACTCCGCCCTCCCCAAAGTATCCATCCAGCTTCTCCCTCCTCCCCTCCTCTCCCCCCTCTTCTCCCCCCTCCTCTCCCCCCTCCTCTCCACCCTCCTCCTCTCGCTCCACCTCCTTCCTCTGCTTCCCCCGCTCCCTCTCTCCCCCCTCCTCCTCCATCTCCCCTTCCCCCATTGCACTGTCCGCAAACCCCTTGTGAGACACCTCCAAGCTGGTGATCCCTGCTTGGTTTACAACCCCTACTCCTATTACACTTGCAGGCACCCCCATACTTCCTCGCCCTCCCACCCTTGTTGTGTTCCCACCACCCCATCTGCCTCCCACTGACTTAGCCATTTCTGCTGCTCCCTCCCCCTTCTGGTTCTCTCCTTCCATAACCTCTTTCCTATATTTTTTCCTCTCTTTCTCCCTCCTCTCCCTCTCACTCCTTTCCCTCTCCCTCCTCTCCTCTCGGTCCCTCACAAACGCTGCAATCTCCCCGCCCAGGTGGACCGAGAAATGTCTGATGTGGCGGTGCAGGGCCAATCCCGAGCCTCCTGCTGACGTGGCACCAGCAGCAGAAACGGCTGACGTGGCGATGCGGGAGAGGTTCTCGTTGTTGACGAGCGCGGCGCGGCGAAAGGTGAGCTGACGTGGCGTCTGGTGCGGGTGCTGCACGTGCAGCTGACGTGTCACAAAGTAATCTATAAAAGCATCTCCAAGAAACTCCAATCTCTGCAAGGACGAAGTAATGAGCATCGAGGAGAGGTAATGAGCAGCGAGGAGAGGTAATGAGCAGCGAGGAGAGGTAATGAGCAGCGAGGAGAGGTAATGAGCAGCGAGGAGAGGTAATGAGCAGCGAGGAGAGGTAATGAGCAGCGAGGAGAGGTAATGAGCAGCGAGGAGAGGGTGAGGTGAAACAATGAGCACGAAGCGGAGGTTGGGTTCAAAGCAGCGTCATAAAAGGTTGGATCAGCTGCAAAATCATCATCATCATCATCCTAATCAGACAGTCTCACCTGGTAACACGTCACCATTTCGTCAGAGGCCCAGTTGACGAAGCTGGGGTGAGTCAGGGCTTCCAGCACCAGCCGCTTGTCCCTGAACTCGTGTCCCAGTGCCGCCTCTACCTTCCTCGCCCCACACAACCCCTTTGACATGAGCTGCTGTCTCAAATAGCTCACCTGGTAGCACGAGACTGCATCATCAGAGGCCCAGTTGACGAAGATGGGATGGGTTAGGGCTTCCAGCACCAGCCACTTATCCCTTGACTCGTACCCCAGTGCCTACTCTATCCCCCTCACGACCTCACCCCTCACAGACCTTTTGGAGACGCCGAGAAGCTCACTTGGAAATACGAGACTGTATTATCAGAGAGACCTACCTGGTAACACGTGACGACTTCGTCAGAGGCCCAGTTGACGAAGCTGGGATGGGTTAGGGCCTCCAGCACCAGCCGTTTATCTCTGAACTCATATCCCAGTGCCTTCTCTATCTCCCTCACTCCAGACAGCCCCTTCTCGCCTCCACCCTCCTCCTCTCTCTGCTCTCCTTCCTCCTCCCCTCCCTCCTCTTCTCCCCTCGCTCGTCCTTCCTCTCCTTCCTTTCTCCCACTTTCTTCAATCATCAACTCATCTGTATCAGAACCCCTCGCTCCTATGTCCTCTGCGGTTTTCTCCCCATTCCCACCCACACACACCTCTCCCTCGTTTCCTTCCACACTCTTCCCACTCCTCCCTCCACCCACCCCTTCACACACCCCTCCACCCACCCCTCCACACACCCCTTCACCCACCCCTCCACACACCCCTTCACCCACCCCTCCACACACCCCTTCACCCACCCCTCCACACACCTCACCACCCGCTCTCCCAGCCACTCTCTCCCTCTCTCCTCGACCCACATCCACCCCCTCAAATCCAGACAGCCCCACCGGAAGACCCAACCAGGCCATGACACGTGTAGCAGCAGCAGCCCCACACGTGTCCCACACACACCCCACCAGAGCTTCCACCAAATCAGCTAAAGCCTTCCCAGACACGCGCACAGGAGGCGGGGATACCACCACCAAGGGAGGTAGCGGGTTCAATGCTTTCATGTGGTTGATTCCTCCCACCTTGCTGCTTCCACCGCTCTCAACACCTTCGCCTTCAACAATGCAGACCTCTTCAGTTTCAAGAGCACTGTTTATTAAGGCTTTTCTCTTCTCCCTTTCTCCTTCCTCTTCTTCCTCTTTGTCATCTTCCTCTGCTTCTTCCTCCTCTTCCTCCTCCTCCTCCTCCTCCTCCTCCTCCTCCTCCTCCTCCTCCTCCTCCTCCTCCTCCTCCTCCTCCTCCTCCTCCTCCTCCTCCTCCTCCTCCTCCTCCTCCTCCTCGTCTTCCTCATCCCCTTCCTCTTCATCCATTACCTCTTCCTCACTCCCCTCATCTGTATCCTCTCCTTCCTCTTCAATTTTTTCATCGTCTTCACCCACCTCCTCCTCCTCCTCTTCCTCCTGTTCCTCCTCCTCGTCATCTTCTCCCTCCTCCACTTCTTCCGCTCCCTCCTCCTCCTCCCCCTCCTCCCCCTCCTCTCCCTCCTCATCCTCTTCCTCCCCTTCTCCAGATCTATTAACCCCTTCCTCGTCCTCCTCATCTGCTCCATTCTTCCCTCCACCCTCCCCCTCCTCCCCTTCCCTTGCCTCTTGCTCCATCCCTTGAGCTGCAGACTGCTTTGGATTCTTCTTTCTCCTCCTCCTTTCCAATGCGTGCTGCTTCCCCATTTCTTGTGTTCGCCGCTCCCTGATCTGCTGCTTCAACTGCGCATGCCCGCATGGATAGTCACGAGGAGCAACACCTGGCACGTACCATTTTCCAGTTGTGAAGATTCCAGTGCGCAGATACTCCTGAAGGAGGGGATGTAGGCGGAGGAGGGGAGGTGGATTATGCTGTGGGTTTGGGGGGGCAACACCTGGCACGTGCCATTTCCCTGCTGTGAATATCCTGGCCCGCAGATACTCCTGGGGAGAGAAGGAGAGAGACGGACACAAAGTCGAGGAGCAAAGGGAGGCAACGAAAGATAACACTTTTCTTCTCAGTCCCAATACACTTCTCTCACTTCATCCCCAATGTCTCTCAGCAGGAGTATCTACGAACTGGGATATTCACAGCAGGGAAGTGGCATGTGCCAGACATTGCTCCTCGCTGCGTTTCACCTTCCCCTTTGCCAGGGAATAAGAAGGGGAAGGTGAAAAGCAGCGAAAGGCAACGCCTGGCATATGCCACTTCCCTGCTGTGAATATCCGCGTTCGCAGATACTCCTGGAGAACGGACAGCGAGAGTGAGACAGAGGGAGAGGAGTGCGTGATGACATGAACTCATCACATGCACATGCATCTTCGGTTCCACTAGACCCACTAGACCCACGAGACCCACAAGACCAACTAGAACCACTAGTCCCACCAGAGCCACCTATTCCGCTGAACTTTTTCCCTAATCAGATAAAGCTTCATATCCATTCCACTCAAGCCACTCAACCCATGAGCTACTTGGCACGCCCTCGACGTGCGCATGCACTGCACCCACTGGCCCACTAGACCCACTAGACAGACCCACCCACCGGTTCTGCTATCGCCCTACTCACATGCAGCTTCATGTTCGTTGCTGTCAAAAGCAGCGCCTCATTACTGATAGCATCGGCGCAGCGCTGAGTCAGCACACCCTCATGCGCGCCGGGCAGCTACACCATTAAACTCGCTTGACCCACCCACCGGTTCTTTCTGCTATCTCCCTACTCACATGCAGCTTCTTCTCCCTGGCAGTTGATAGCAGCGCCTCGTTGCTGATAGCGTCGGTGCGGCGCTGAGTCAGCACGCCCTCATGTGCGCCGGGCAGCTCGCGAAAAAGATGTGAGCTGAGCGCCGCCTTGAGAAAACAATCCCCCAGCAGCTCGTCCCTCTCGTAGGAAAAGCCCTCACCAGTTGAGTAGGCCGTTATGGCATGCAGGAGCTGGGGGAAGGGGAGAGGTGAGCAGGAGAGAGTGAATGTGTGCAAATGAAACAAGATACAAGCTGACCCCTGCCTTGAAGAAGACAGTACATATGCCCCACCCCTGGTGGTAGCAGTCCCCCAGTAGCTCGTCCCTCTCGTAGGAGAAGCCCTCTCCTCTTGAGCATGCTGCTATCGCGTGCAGGAGCTGCAGAAGAGGGAGAAGAGAGGGTTTGGAAAGGGTGAGATAAAACCAATGAATCAGCCAGTGGAGTAGGCTGTTATGGCGTGCAGGAGCTGCAGAGGGTAGGAAGACGAGAAGGAAAGATGAGAGGTTGCAGGCAGGGGAGAGGCGCAGCAGAGGGAAGTGACTGAAAAAGATGTGAGCTGACCGCCGCCTTGAGGTAGCAGTCCCCCAGCAGCTCGTCCCTCTCGTAGGAAAAGCCCTTCAAGGTCGTCAGCATCCAAACTCATATCGGAATCGCCAACTAAGCAATGGGAAACACCCAGGGTGCAGAGTCAGCCTTCGGGAAGCAGTCCCCCAGCAGGTCGTCCCTCTCATAGGAAAAGCCCTTCCTCGTGGACTGGGCACTTGGGGCGTGAAGGAGCTGCAGAGAGGGGGGGAGGGGAGAGGGACTTTTGAGTCGACTCAAAAGCTGACTTTTGAGTCGACTCAAAAGTAAGCAGCTCCCCCAGCAGCTTGTCCCTCTCATAGGAAAAGCCCTTCCCCGTGGACTGGGCACTTGGGGCGTGAAGGAGCTGCAGAGAGGGGGGAGAGGGGAGAGGGATCAAGGGGAAGGCGCAGCACGAAGAGTGAGTGGAAAGTGGATCTGCCCTCACCCAGAGGAGAGGAACGAACACAACAAACATAATGCTGCAGGGTGTTTTTGAGAATTCTCAAAAACACTCTGCCTTCACCCAAAGGAGAGAAATGAGCAAAAAAAACATAATGAAGGGGCACGGCAAGCTAACTGTCACAAGCAAGCCTAAAACCAAACTAACAAACTGTTTGCTAAACACAGCTGCTGCCACGCTACGCCATGCCTCCTACTTGGGGCTCTAGTGAGTGGAAAGTGGATCCGCCTTCACCCAAAGGAGAGGAACGAACGAACACGAAAAACATGATGAAGGGGCATGGCAAGCTAACTGTCTGTCGCCCCATCCACTCCCTCACCTCCCCTGCCTGCAGCAGCCCCTGCAGGCGGTGCAGCACGGAGGGCAGCAGCGAAAGAAGCAGGGCCGGTCCCACCCCCTTTTGAATTACACTCACCCTCGCGACCGGAAGGTTCAAGAGCACCCCTTCCATCTAAGCTTCCCGGCCTATCCTGTCCCTCACCTCACCTCCCCTGCCAGCAGCAGCCCATGCAGGCGGTGCAGCACAGAGGGCAGCAGCGAGAGCGACAGGCCGTGCAGAAGGGAGGGACATCACACTCACCCAAGCGACCGGAAGTTTTGAGAGAATCCTTTCCATTTGAGCCTCCCGGCCAACTCTGTCCCTCAATTCTCCTGCCAGCAGCAGCCCATGCAGGCGGTGCAGCACAGAGGACAGCAGCGAGAGCGACAGGGCGGGCAGCATGGAGGGACATCACACTCACCCTAGCGACCGGAAGCTTTGGGAGAATCACTTCCATTTGAGGCTCCCGACCAATCCTGTCCCTTAACTCTCCTGCTAGCAGAAGCCTGCGCAGGCGGTGCAGCACGGAGGGCAGCAGCGAGCGCGACAGGGTGTGCAGCAGGGAGGGGCATCACACTCACCCTAGTGACTGGAAGCTTTGAGAGAATCACTTCCATTTGAGCCTCCCGGCCAATTCTGTCCCTTAATTCTCCTGCTAGCAGAAGCCCGTGCAGGCGGTGCAGCACAGAGGGCAGCAGCGAGGCAGCCTGGTAGAGAGGGAAGGACATGAGCGGATGGAGTAGCTCGGGGGGCAGCAGCACGGAGAATGGGCGGGAGGAGGAAGAGGAAAGGGTGCTGGTCTTGGAGGCTGCAGGATTGACGGGTGGGGGGAGGACGAGAGGGAGGGAGTGGGGTTGGGAGGGAGGGAAATAGGAGGAGTTGGGTGAACACTATTAGATGTGGAGAAGGAGCAGCACAGAGGGCAGCAGCGAGGGCAGCAAGGAGGGCAGCACAGAGGGCAGCAGCGAGGCGGCCTGGTAGAGAGGGAAGGCCATGAGTGGATGGAGCAGCTCGGGGGGGAGCAGCACGGAGAATGGGCGAGAGGAGGAGGAGGGGGAGGAGGCGGGGTGTGGGGTGGTCTTGGAGGCTGCAGGGGAAAAGGTTGGGGGGGGAGAGAGGAAAGGGAGAACGGGTATTGGAAGCCAGGAGTGGAAACAATAGAGCAGCAGGTGCAACGATAAAGCATTACAGGGAGCAGCACGGAGGGCAGCACAGAGGGCAGCAGCGAGGCGGCCTGGTAGAGAGGGAAGGCCATGAGTGGATGGAGCAGTTCGGGGGGGAGCAGCACGGAGAATGGGCGAGAGGAGGAGGGGGAGGAGGATGTAGGAGTGGTCTTGGAGGCTGTAGGAGTGATGGTGGGAGGGTGCGCGGGGGAGAGGGGAGAGAGGGAGGGGGGGAGTGGGTATGGAGGGAGGAGAGGAAAAAGGGTGAGCACAAGAAGCTGTGGTGAAGGAAGAGCACAGAGGGACGCAATGAGGGCAGCACAGAGCAGCGAGGCGGTTCGGAGAGCAGGCGAGAGGAGGCGGAGGAGGAGGAGTGGGGTGGAGGGGTGCTTTTGATGGTTAGCAGTTAAGGGAGAGATGAAGGGGTTAAGAAGGAGGAAAGAGCGACGAGGAGTAAGGGGAATAAAGCAAGATTCTCAAATCAAATAAGGCTTGCCAAGTGTCACAAAGTTACAGACCTCCCCACTGCCTCCCCACTTGATCACCACCACTGCATCACCTTTCGGCATGTCGCTTGGCGAGGGAGGCGTGAGGCAGGCCTTGGCAGAGGGAAGCGAGCGCATGAGCAGCAGAGGCAGATGGGGGCACACCAGCTACTGCTGCTGCATTACCACCTCCTTCCCACTGCTTTTCCATACTGCCTCACCTTTAGGCATGTCGTTTGGTGAGGGCAGCTTGAGGCAGGCCTTGGCAGAGGGAAGCGAGCGCATGAGCAGCAGAGGCAGATGGGAGCACACCAGTCGCACACCGTGCCTGATAAGGGACAGGGTTTTAGAGCAGAAGGTTTAGGGTTCATGCTTGCAGGGTCAAGGTCAAAGCGCTTGCAAGAGCAGGAGAGGGAGATGAGGGCACACCAGCCGCACACCGTGCCTGGAAAGAAAAGAGAAGCAGAGGTCAAGGTTAAAACGCTGGCATGAGCAGCAGAGGTAGGTGGGGGCACATATCTGTCCTTGGGGAGACAATGTTAAAAAGGAGGAGCAAGCTTCACTATTTCGAATCGTCATAAGGCGAAGCCTGTTCTTCACTCACATGCTCACTCACTCACTCACTCACTCACTCACTCACTCATTAACTCACTCACTCACTCATTCACTCACTCACTCACTCAATCACTCACACACACACACCCAGCCTACCTCTCTCTGAAATACTCCTCGAACGTCGAATAGCCTTCATTAGGGAAGGGACTCAGAGCTGTCAACACGCCCTCTCCTCCAACCTCCTCCTCCCGAGCCTCCCCTTCCCCCTCCCCATCCTTCCCCTCTTCCTTCTTACCCTCATCCCTCCCCGCCTCCCCCCGAGACACGCGATACAGCCACCCAGTGTGCCTGGCGACAACCACACACCCTCTCATGCGCTCCACTGCAGCCAGTTGCTCCTCCAGGCTCTGTCTCTGCATGTGTCCTCCCAGCACTCTCAGCCCCTGCTGAGAGCTGTCAACGCGCCCTCTTCCAGTGTGCCTGGCGACAACCACACACCCTCTCATGCGCTCCACAGCTTCCAGCTGCTCCTCTAGGCTCTGTCTCTGCATGTGCCGCCCCAGCACTCTCAGCCCCTGCTGCTGCTCACAGTGCAACCCATCACGCCCCTGCTCCTCTGTGGCTTCTCGCTCTCCTGCCCCCTGCTCGCACTGCTCTTCTCGGTCTCCTTGCCTGTTCCTTTGCTCTCCTCGACCCCCTTGTACTTTGGTTCCTCGTTTTGGTTGCATCCCCTCCTCTTCCCCTTCCCTTTCCTCCCCCACTCTCTCCTTTCCCATTCTCCCTTCTTCCCCCACACTCCTCTCCCCCCCCACCCTCGTCGCCTCCCCCATCCCCTCACCCCCCTCTGTAGCATCTACCAGCCACAGAGAAGCATCAGCAACAGACATGACTACAGCCCAGTCGATCGCCGCACACGACACCTCCTTCCACTCCTCCCCTTCGCCCCGACCCCTCCCCTTTCCCTTCAACTCCTCCCCTTCTTCCTCCTTTCCAGACACATCCATATCCGACCTTGCCTCTCCCTTTTCTCCAAATGAACCCTTTACTCCTCCGCACCGCACTCCATCGCCCTCCACCTTACTCCCACCCAGCTTCACTCCCCACAGCTTCCTCTTCTTTCCCTCTGGCCCAGCACAGTCGGCTTCAGTCGTGTCTGTGTCGCCGCAAACAGCAGCAGCAGTATCAGTATCAGCACCAGCACCAGCACCAGCAGCACCACCACCACCACGAGAAGCAGCCATCTCAACAGCAGAAGCACTAGCAGTTCCAGCAGAAGCAGTAGCTGCAGCACCAGCAGTTCCAGCAGCAGTGGTAGCAGCAACACCAGCGGCAGCAGCTGCTGCTGCTGCTGCAGCCATACCCGCAGCAGCAGCAGCACCCTGGCAGGGACTGCCCATCGACAACGGTTGAGCCACCGGAGCAACTATATAGTGCAACGAGCCATTCCAAAACGGGGATGGCTGGTACTGGGAAGCAGTGCTAGGGGAAACATTGTCAAGGGCAGCACTGCCACGGCCAGCACTAGGAATGGGTGCGGATTGGCAGCAGCGGCGGCAGCGGCGCAGGAGAGTGGCAAAGAGATGCGCGTGAAAGGACATGAGCAGACGCGCCTGCAAGGGAGGGAAGCAGGCGCGGGTAGTGGGGAGGGCGGGGACAGGGGAAGAGCAATGGGGGAAGAGCAATGGGGGAAGAGCAATGGGGGAAGAGCAATGGGGGAAGAGCAATGGGGGAAGAGCAATGGGGGAAGAGCAATGGGGGAAGAGCAATGGGGGAAGAGCAATGGGGGAAGAGCAATGGGGGAAGAGCAATGGGGGAAGAGCAATGGGGGAAGAGCAATGGGGGAAGAGCAATGGGGGAAGAGCAATGGGGGAAGAGCAATGGGGGAAGAGCAATGGGGGAAGAGCAATGGGGGAAGAGCAATGGGGGAAGAGCAATGGGGGAAGAGCAATGGGGGAAGAGCAATGGGGGAAGAGCAATGGGGGAAGAGCAATGGGGGAAGAGCAATGGGGGAAGAGCAATGGGGGAAGAGCAATGGGGGAAGAGCAATGGGGGAAGAGCAATGGGGGAAGAGCAATGGGGGAAGAGCAATGGGGGAAGAGCAATGGGGGAAGAGCAATGGGGGAAGAGCAATGGGGGAAGAGCAATGGGGGAAGAGCAATGGGGGAAGAGCAATGGGGGAAGAGCAATGGGGGAAGAGCAATGGGGGAAGAGCAATGGGGGAAGAGCAATGGGGGAAGAGCAATGGGGGAAGAGCAATGGGGGAAGAGCAATGGGGGAAGAGCAATGGGGGAAGAGCAATGGGGGAAGAGCAATGGGGGAAGAGCAATGGGGGAAGAGCAATGGGGGAAGAGCAATGGGGGAAGAGCAATGGGGGAAGAGCAATGGGGGAAGAGCAATGGGGGAAGAGCAATGGGGGAAGAGCAATGGGGGAAGAGCAATGGGGGAAGAGCAATGGGGGAAGAGCAATGGGGAAGAGCAATGGGGGAAGAGCAATGGGGGAAGAGCAATGGGGGAAGAGCAATGGGGGAAGAGCAATGGGGGAAGAGCAATGGGGGAAGAGCAATGGGGGAAGAGCAATGGGGGAAGAGCAATGGGGGAAGAGCAATGGGGGAAGAGCAATGGGGGAAGAGCAATGGGGGAAGAGCAATGGGGGAAGAGCAATGGGGGAAGAGCAATGGGGGAAGAGCAATGGGGGAAGAGCAATGGGGGAAGAGCAATGGGGGAAGAGCAATGGGGGAAGAGCAATGGGGGAAGAGCAATGGGGGAAGAGCAATGGGGGAAGAGCAATGGGGGAAGAGCAATGGGGGAAGAGCAATGGGGGAAGAGCAATGGGGGAAGAGCAATGGGGGAAGAGCAATGGGGGAAGAGCAATGGGGGAAGAGCAATGGGGGAAGAGCAATGGGGGAAGAGCAATGGGGGAAGAGCAATGGGGGAAGAGCAATGGGGGAAGGTATGCGGAAGAGATGTGCATGGAAGGACATGTAAGTAGGTGCGGGCAGAGGGAAAGTTGGAGGGTGGGTGGGGGAGGGGAAGAGCAATGGGAAGGTGCAGATGAGAAGCGTGTAGAAGAACATGAGGAGATGAGCGTGCAAGGGAAGCAGGTGGGGGAGGAGGGAGAGGGGGGACGACAGGCGTGCAGCAAAGGTACACAAGGTCGCATACCTGACTGGCAGAGAGCACCACACGGCCCATGGGAGTCAGCTGCACTGTCGCATGGCCCACTCCTTTCGGGAACAGTCCGAACATCGCCGCCCCACACTCTGGACCAAGTTCCCCCACGCATAAGAGGAGAAACCGGGAGGTTTCTTGGGCAGAGCCGAGGCCTGATGGAGTCTTCTCCTCCTCCTCCTCCTCCTCCTCCTCCTCCTCCTCCTCCTCCTCCTCCTCAGCTACCCCTCTGCTTCCCTCACGCTCCTTACAGTCACGTTCACTGCCATCCTCCTTAGTGTCACTCCCTCTAGCATCCTCGCTTGCATGCTTTCTTCCATCTTCATCTGCCTTCCTGCCCATACTGATGTGAACACGATGCACAAAATACGCCCGCCTTCCCCCCTTGTCGTCCTCCTCTTCCTCCTCGCCCACCCCTTGCTGTTCCCCCTCAACTGCCCCCTCCCATGGGAGGCGCAGGGCAGAGGGGATTCGCTGGTGCACATGCATGGCAACACGGCGCGCTGACGGGGGGGATAATGGGGATGGGTGGGATGATGGGGAGATGGTGAGCGGGAACTGGTGATTGGGGAGGCGCAGGGCAAAGGGGATTCGCTGGTGCACATGCATGGCAACACGGCGCGCTGGGAGGAGGGGTTGATGGGGAAACGTAGGGAGGAGATGGTAGGGAGATGCCGGGATAAGAGGGGGATGATGGCTGATGGAAACAGATGTGATGGAGAGGCGCAGGGCAGAGGGGATTCGCTGGTGCACATGCATGGCAACACGGCGAGTTGATGGTGGGGTTGATGGGGTGGCGGTGAAGGGGGGGAGAAGATGGGGAAATGGGGGGGAGATGGGGAGAGGTAATATGGGGATGACAGATGATGATCGGGAGATGGTGATGGGGAGGTGCAGGACAGAGGAGATTCGCATGGCAACACGGCGCATAGGTGGGGAGGGAAAGGATGGGGGATGGGGAACAGTTGCTCAATGGGGAAATTAATGGGGGGAAAGATAACACCCACAGAACCCTCATGCATATCGTGCCCCCGCTTCTCCCACATGTCTTGTCCCCACCCCTCTCACCTCCCCCGCCCCACCTCTCTCAGGCGCCACCGTAGCACCAAACTTGCTCTGCCTTGTCCTTGAACCATACGACTACAAACCCACCCATCCCTCTCAGGCGCCACGGTGGTGTTAACGGGAATGGAGTGTTGGCCCCGCCCTCGCTTGGGCAACGCCGATGACTTCGTCGGATGTACAGGAGTAGCACCCGACCGTTCACAGTGGGAGAGCTGCTTGGCAGGCTTCGTCGAGCTGCAGGAGACCGCTGTGGTGTTGTTGTCGACCAGGGAGCTCGACAGCTGCAACTGACTGGTCTGGGCGACGGGTGGGCCGTCGACTAGGAGGGGCAGTTCGACCGGGATGTCGACGGAGCAGTCCGTCGACCTACAGCTCAATCGGGAGGTTGACAGAGCAGTCTGTCGACCCGCAGCTCGACCAGGAGGTCAACGGAGCAGTCCATCGACCTGCAGCTCGACCGGGAGGTCGACGGAGCAGTCCGTCGACCTTTAGTTCGACCGAGAGGTCGACAGAGCAGTCCGTCGACCTCACAAGTGAGCAGCGGTCGACGACGGGAGCTCAGCGACAGCCGCTGACGGTTCTGGTCGACGAAAGGGGTAGCTCGACAGCAGCTGTGGTCGACCAGAGGCACCTGGTGGTCGACCAGAGGCACCACAAGCAGTGTTGGTCGACCGGAAGCACCTGGTGGTCAACCAGGTCGACCGAGTAACCTGCTCGACGAGTTCTGCGGAGGCACGCGAATGTCGTCGAGGTCGCGATGGCGAAGGCGAATTCGGTTTGGTATCTCGAAGTCGATGTGGCTCATCAGGCGCAGACAACAGCCGACGGATGCACAACGATGCAAGTCGGGCCTCTTGTCTGCGCGCACCTGCGAGCGTGCGCACTGCTGTCTTCTACGGGGCAACGCTGGACAGCCGCTTTGCTGCAGCGTTGGCACGCCGTCGAACTCCAGTGTTGGCAGGTCGCTTTTCTGCAGTGCTGGCGCGGCTCTTCTACGCAATGCTGGCAGGCGGTCAACTAAGCTGTGCTGGCAGTCGACCAGGCTAGCTGCAGGGTTGCTAGGTGCCTAATATAGTCAATTCTATCATTGCCTGTTCAACCAATTCTGTAATTTCGACTTGACCTAAAGGAAACTCTTGCTGATTTCTCCCGTGAATGTGCAAGCACTAAAGACCTAAGCACCCACCCACCTCTCTCAGGCGCCACAGTGGCACCAAACTTGCTCCGCCTCTTCTTCCCCCACCGAATCGGCAGTAGCCTCTCACTCAGCCGCCCAGAATCCAGCAGAATCTTCACTGCCTGCAGACACACAGCCCGCCGGGCGGCGATTTTTGACCGGCATGGCGGCCCATGGATGGCAGGGACGCCAGCAGTGGCTGGCAGGCGGAGTGTGACTGTAAAGAGGGGTGCAGGTGGGTCAATGGGAGAAGATGCAGCGGCAGCAGTGGTGCTTGAATCGGTTGGGGAGGAGTTAACAGAGAAGAATGGCTGCAGCACGCCGCTCCTGTGTGGTGTGATGTGATGTTGGTGTGCATGGGCGGGAGGTGGGGGGGGGTGTGGGTGGGGGCGGGAAAGGGGAAGTGGGTGGTTCGATATCGTCGTTGAGGAAAGTGGCATGGGAGGGGGGGACAGAGAGAGACGCATGGCTGGAGCCCGCAACTCATGTCATGCGTGGTGTAGTGTGGGGTAGAGAGAGAGGGAGAGGGGGTGAAAACGTGGGTTGAAAACAAAGAAAGAAAGAAAAGAAACACACACACACACATACTCACACAAATTTTAATAGGCAACCCACCCGTCATTGGTCCCCAGAGTGTTGCAGAACTGATACACGAGAGCCACACTGCCCTGTCTCGTCACCAGCGCCCCTGTACTCGGTACCACCAACACCTTGCTGCCGCTTCTCATCCCCCACCTACTCTCCACCTTCCCTTCCCCCTTCTCACCTCTCACACCCTCTCCATCCACACCACCTTCTCTTCTTGCAATCACTCCATCCCCCTCCCCTACCTCCCCTGCCCCCAATTCCAGGTTCACCCTCCCATCCCAATCCACATCCATTCCTTCCTCTTCTCCTCCCTCCTCCGCATCTTCCTCCTCCGTTTCATCTTCCCAAAACGGCCCTCCCAGGCCTCTATCTCCTTCCCTCTCCCCTCGGTTCTCATTCTGGTTCTGGGTGTTGCGCTGCTGCTGCACCGTGGCCTGCATGGTGCCTTCATTGCGCATGAACTTGGCTAAGTCCTCCTCGTACTTGGTATCGCCCCTGCTCAGGAAGGGAGAACAGGCAGGAAGAGAGTGGGTCTTGCTGCTGCTGCACCGTGGCCTGCATGGTGCCTTCGTTGCGCATGAATTTGGCTAAGTCCTCCTTGTACTTGGTATCACCACCGAGATAAATGGGGTATAAACAGGTAAGAGGAAGGGGGAACACGGAACGTAAGCACATGCCCCAGCTGCTGCTGCACAGTCCCTCGTTGCGCATAATGCATAATGCCCTCGTTGCGCATCAACTTGGCTAAGTCCTCCTGGTACTTGCTATCACCGCTGAGTGGAGGGGAGGGCGAGTGGGGGTGGGTGGGTGGCAACGGAGCAGGCAACGGGCAGCAGTGTAATCGAGTCAGACTAGGAGGAAATAAGCGACAGACAAAATCACCATGCAAGCTCCACTCTGTCCGTTGTTGCTGGCCAAGTTCATGCGCAAAGGGAGAACCGAAAGGGAGAGGGAGAACGGAATACTACTACCATACCAACCAGCCTCAAAGATCACATGCTACCCACCATAATCCACCCACTCACCACTGCACAAGGACACGAAAGTGTGCTCCGGGTTTCCTCGCCCTGCCCCGGGATTTGCAGCATAGAGCGCACATTGAGAATTTGCATGATTCAACCTTTCATACCTCCCACAATGCGTGCCGTTACGCTACTGGCACCCACCGTTCCACAAGGTCACGGAAGTGTGCTCCTGGCTTCCTCGCTCTGCCACGAGATTGAAGCATGGAGCGCACGTTGAGAATGCAGCTATAAAACAAACTCACCACCGTGCCATGCTTATGGGGGGTCAGAAAAGACCACTTACCGTTGCACAAGCACGCGGAAGTGCGCTCCTGGCTTCCGCGCCCTGCCACGGGACTGCAGCATGGAGCGCACGTTGGGAATGCGGTCGAGTCGAATCACCGTACCGTGCTTATGGGGGGCTGAAAGACAACCTACCGTTGCACAAGCACTCGGAAGTGTGCCCCGGGGGTTTCCGTGCTCTGCCACAGGACTGCAGCATGGAGCGCACATTGAGAATGCGGTCGAATCGGATCACCGTACCGTGCTTATGGGGGGCTGAAAGACAACCTACCGTTGCACAAGCACACGGAAGTGCGCGCCTGGTTTCCGTGCCCTCCCACGGGACTGCAGCATGGAGCGCACGTTGGGAATGCGGTCGAATCGGATCACTGAACTGTGCTTATGGGGGGCTGAAAGACAACCTACCGTTGCACAAGCACTCGGAAGTGCGCGCCTGGTTTCCGTGCCCTGCCGCGAGACTGCAGCATGGAGCGCACGGTGAGAATGCGGTCGAATCGGATCACCGTGTGGCACGCCGGAATGTCCATGCCCTCCTCTGCCGCACTCGTTGCCACCAGCACGTTCAGCTGTGTGGGGGACGCACGGGGGGAGAGAGAGAGATGCAGGGGAGATATAGGGGACGGAAGCAACGTTGAGAATGTGGTCGAATCGGATCGCCGTGTGGCACGCCGGTATGTCCATTCCCCCCTCTCCTGCACTCGTTGCCACCAGCACGTTCAGCTGTGGGAAGCAGGGTAGGGGAGGGAAACAGCAAGAGAGAAGAAAGTCTGAGGGACTGTGTGGCACGCCGGTGTGTCCATGTCCTCCTGCTTTCCTCTCTACCCCTCCCCTCTCTCTCCCCCCCCCCCCCCCGCCCACTCACCTTCCCCGCACGAAAGCGCGAAATTGCAGAATCTGGCCGGGAGTGCTTAGCTGTCCCGCCCTGATTGATCGAGATTCCGATCTTGGCAGCCCCAGCACCAACCACAAAATCCGCCTTCAGAGAAGCAGCAACCGAGGGCAGCAAACGGAGGAGTCGAGAGAGGCTGTGTGCGGTGACAATGCGCTCCACGAAAATGACAATGGTGGGGGACGGCTGGGAGGCATAGAGGCGGAGGAGGGAGAGGAGGTGGGCGATTTTGGGCGTGAGGAGTGCAGAGGGGTGCGATGCGAGGGAGAGGGTGGCTTCTAGTCCGCCTGGGCCTGGTTCCTTGGCCTCTGGAATCACATTGAGAAATAAACCAAGCGGGGGGGGACAGGGCAAGGAGGGTGCACAAGAGACAAGGAGGTGGGCGATTTTGGGGGTGAGGAGAGCAGAGGGATGCACTGCCAGAAACAGTGTTTTCTATTCCGACAGGGCCTGGTGCCTTGGCCTCTGGATTTATACACATGGGAAAGGGACGGAAAGGCAATAAATCGAGAAATGAAGCTCGGCCCAGGGGATGGTCAGGACTAAGGTGCAGCTTCCTTTCTAGCTTTGATGACTTCAAATCCGGGCTCCAGGGGATGGTTATGCAAGAAGGAAGGGGTGTGAGCAGTGATATAAATTAAAATTCAGGGGCGTACAAGAACAGTTTATATCTGACATGACATGGTCAACTAAATCAAAGAATCAAACGAATTAACAACAGAGATTGACCAGTAACAGGCCAGTTACAGGCAAGACGACTTTCTTACCGGGTGGCAATCCACATCTCAGGAACGCCTCGCAGCGGTTGATGAACTCCAATCGGACGGCTGCAAACGCATCTCGCAGGCGGGCGTTCTCCTCATGCTGGTCCATGCCCCCACTGGCCGCTTGTGCACGCAGCGCCTGCAGAGCCTGGAGGCGGGTTAAGGGGAAAAGTGGGTGGAGGGGGAGGGAGTTAGAGAAAGAGTTGTGTGGTGGGCGGGCGTTCTCCTCGTGCTGGTCCCTGCCCCCACTGGCTGCCTGCGCACGCAGCGAGTGCAGAGCCTCGTGAGCGCGGGGGAAGCGGGGGGGGAGGTGGAAAGGTGCAGAATATAAAGGTGCTCTCATGCTGGTCCATGGCCCCACTGGTTAGCTACTTGCGCGCTCACCCAGCGACTGCAGAGCCTGGTGAGTGCAGGTGCGGGGTTAGGTGAAGAGTGGTGCGGGGTAGGTAGTGGCCAAGGAAGGTCACTGGGGCACCTGTCTGTCGATCAATGTGATTGGGACGTTGCCACGTCCCATTGTCGATCAACACTGCTGGCTAGCAGAGTCCCCATATGCTGCAGTCCACCGCTCTATTAGAGGTGGGGTGAAAGGTGCGTCATACCTGATACCACTGAGAAGGCCACAAGGCCGTACCAGGAATGCGGGGTAGCGGCCGAGGTCAGTAAGGCACCAGTCGAGCGCCCCTGCAAAGTACTTGACTCGTTTCACCATCCTCCGCCGCACCTCCCCATACGCTGCTGTCCACCTCTGCTGGTGATTGCTTTGGTGATCGCCTTGGTTCCCGTCCCTCCCCTGCTCTTGCTCCCTCCCCTCTTCCACCCGCCCCTCCCTCCCCCCCTCCTGCCCCATCCCTCCACTCTCATCTACCACCTTCCTCCCCTCCTCCTCTATCCATCGCACCATCCCCTCTCTCTCCTGCTCCACCCTCTCCCGCAGCTGCAGCATCACCTGCGCCTGCTCCTCCCCAGGGGGGTCGTAGTGGGACTGGATGGTCTGCGCGCTGGGTAGCACCTCCACCAGACACGACCTGTCCAGGACTGTGTAGAGCTGGGGAAGACAGCAGGGGGGAAACGGGGGAAGGAACGAGGAGAACAACAGATGACCCCAGCACTATTCTCTCCCTCTCCTTCTTCACCCTCCCCAGCAGCTGTAGCAGCAGCTGCAGCAGCACCTGCGCCTGCTCCTCCCCAGGGGGGTCGTAGTGGGACTGAATGGTCTGCGCGCTGGGTAGCACCTCCACCAGGCACGACCTGTCCAGAACCGTGTAGAGCTGGGGGAGACAGAATGAGGGAAAAACCGGGGGAAGGGGGAACGGCAGCACTGGATGGTCTGCGCGCTGGGTAGCACCTCCACCAGACATGACCTGTCCAACACCGTGTAGAGCTAGGGGGGTGCAGGGACAATGGAAAGGGGGAGGGAGAGGGGTTAGGGGAAAGAGAAGAACAGATTACCCCAGCACAGAAGCACCTCCACCAGACAGGACCTCAACACTGGGTCGCACCTCCCTCAGCTGCTGCAGCAGCACCTGCGCCTGCTGCTCCCCAGGGGGGTCGTAGAGGGACTGGATGGTCCATGCGCTGGGTAGCACCTCCACCAGACACGACCTGTCTAGAACCGTGTAGAGCTGGGGGAGACAGAGGGGGGGGGGGGAGGGGGGAGAACGGAGGCAGACAGGAGGGGGGAAAGGAGGGGTAGGGGGAGTGGGTGGGTGGGACTGGATGGTCTGCGCGCTGGGTAGCACCTCCACCAGACACGACCTGTCCAGCACCGTGTAGAGGTGGAGGAGAGAGGAAGGGTAAGGGGAGGGGGGGGGGAGGGGGAGGGGGGGAGGGGGGATTGCTCGGAAGAGGGCAACAAAGGATCCCAGCACTAGGTAACACCCCCACCAGACAGGATCTGTCCAGAACAGTGTACAGCTGCAGCAGACAGAGAGGGGAAAAGGGAGGGAGTGTCACCATTCCGAATTCATCATGTGTCCTACCCTTGGATCAATCAGGTGGCACACCAACCATCCAACCAACCATCCCATAATTTCATCCATCAGGTGCGCTTCACCTTTGAGTGGAGTATGCGTTCAAAGTTCAGCAGCTGCCGCACCTTCAGATCACCAGACAGAACTCACACCTTCAAACCTACCAAGTGCCACACCTAGGAACCAAGCACTTCACCTTTGAGTGGAGTATGCGTTCAAAGTCCAGCAGCTGCCGCACGCGCGACTGCTCCGACCTGAGTGTCGCCATCATGCACCTTCAGATCACCAGAACTCACACCTTGGAGTCGAGAATGCGCTCAAACCCACCAAGTGCCACACCTCAAAACCAAGTGTCACACCTTGGAGTCGAGAATGCGCTCAAACCCACCAAGTGCCACACCTCAAAACCAAGTGTCACACCTTGGAGTCGAGAATGCGCTCAAACCCACCAAGTGCCACACCTCAAAACCAAGTGTCACACCTTGGAGTCGAGAATGCGCTCAAACCCACCAAGTGCCACACCTCAAAACCAAGTGTCACACCTTGGAGTCGAGAATGCGCTCAAATCCGCCAAGTGCCACACATCAAAACCAAGTGTCACACCTTGGAGTCGAGAATGCGCTCAAACCCACCAAGTGCCACACCTCAAAACCAAGTGTCACACCTTGGAGTCGAGAATGCGCTCAAACCCACCAAGGGCCACACCTCAAAACCAAGTGTCACACCTTGGAGTCGAGAATGCGCTCAAACCCACCAAGTGCCACACCTCAAAACCAAGTGTCACACCTTGGAGTCGAGAATGCGCTCAAACCCACCAAGTGCCACACCTCAAAACCAAGTGCACTCAAACCCACCAAGTGCCACACCTCAAAACCAAGTGCGCTCAAACCCACCAAGTGCCACACCTCAAAACCAAGTGTCACACCTTGGAGTCGAGAATGCGCTCAAAGTCAAGCAGCTGCTGCACGCACGACTTCTCCGACCCGCTGCCCTTGGTGTTGATGGGCGACGCCGTCATGCCGAATATGAGCGGCCTCTCGCTCTGCCTCAGGGAGAAGTACCACGTCTGCTCTCGGATAAGGGTGGTGAGGGGTAGAAAAGGGTTGGGCGGGATTCAGATGCTTGCTGCCCTCTTCCGACCCGCTGCCCTTGGTGTTGATGGGTGACGCTGTCATGCCGAATACGAGCAGCCTCTCGCTCTGCTTCAGGGAGAAGTACCACGTCTGCTCGGACGAAGGGGTGGGTGCAGGATGGGGAAGGCCTAGAACGACTCAAATGCTGCTAGTCCCATCCAAATTCAGGGGAAAATACCATGTCTTCTCAGGAAAACGAAGCATCGGAAAGAAATGAAGAAGATTCAATCGTTGTATGCGCATAGCATAGGGCTGGGCCTTCATGGTGTGATGAGATGGAAAACCCCAACATCTACTGAAGAGCGGGAAAGGAAGGTGTGTTTGTCTGCCAGAATACATCGCTTGGGTTCACCCTCATCTACTTTCACGCAGGGATGGTCCCTGGTTTGGTGGTTTGTGACAAGAATGAATACGTCCCTCATCACGGTCCTTGGTAGGTCCGTTCAAACCATGTGGTTGAAGGGTGAAGGGTGTTCCGTGCTAGCTCTTTCTTCACTTCACGAGATTTGAGTCGACTTAAAAATATGAGACAGGAAGAAAAAAGGTTGATTGTTGCGAATCGAAGAGAGGGGCAGTGTTGTACAAAATCCACACTGCCTCTCTGTTCGATTCACAACAAGACTTCACCTTCATGCTTGTTGCGTAGGGGTGGTCCTTGGCGGTGTGATGTGATGGCACTCGTCTTTTGAGACGTCTCAAAAGTGTGATGGCACTCGTCTTTTGAGACGTCTCAAAAGTGTGATGGCACTCGTCTTTTGAGACGTCTCAAAAGCGTGATGGCACTTGTCGAATATGAGGGGATTCAATGACGAGAGAAAACAGGAAGGCGGGTTTGTCTGCCCTGCCCTGCCCCAACGGTGCCCCACACTGACTCACTCACACTTCACAACATTGATCTTCACCTTCATTATAGTGGCGTAGGCATGGTCCTTGGCGGTGTGATGGCACTCGTCGAATATGAGGAGATCGACTGATGAGAGTGACAGGAAGGCGTGCTGCAGCAGGTTCACGAGCACCTGCGGCGTCATCACCAGCACCTGGAGCGGGGGGAGAGATGCGGGGCGTGCACAGAAAACGCAGCACAGGTGAGGTTTGAGGGGCAGGGGAAAGAGTATGGCACGGGGAGATACGAAGGCGTGCTGCAGCAGGTTCACGAGCACCTGAGGCGTCATCACCAGCACCTGGAGCGGGGTGAGGGGCGGGGCGCGCACAGAAAACGCAGCACAGGTGAGGATAGAGGGGCAGGGGAAATAGTACGGCACGGGGGGGTGAGAAGGCGTGCTGCAGCAGGTTCACGAGCACCTGAGGCGTCATCACCAGCACCTGGAGCGGGGTGAGGGGCGGGGCGTGCACAGAAAACGCGGCACAAGTGAGGATAGAGGGGCAGGGGAAATAGTACGGCACAGGGAGATACGAAGGCGTGCTGCAGGAGGTTCACGAGCACCTGAGGCGTCATCACCAGCACCTGGTAGGGGGGAGAGATGCGGGGCCAGAGAAAGCAGCAGAGGTGAGGCAAGACGGGCAGGGGAAAGAGTATGGCATGGGGAGATACGAAGGTGTGTTGCAGCAGGTTCATGAGCACCTGAGGCGTCATCACCAGTACCTGGAGAGCAGCAGAGGAACCACGGACAAGGGGGTTAGGGATAGCCAAGGGGGGAGCAAGAAGGTGTGTTGCAGCTTCCAGGGTTCAAGGCTTAAGGTTTACCAACGAGCCAGGTAGCCAAAAACCCTGAACTCTGCATATCCTAAATCGCACACACCTCATGCCTGGAGACCTGCTGCTGCACCCACGAGGCCTCGTATTTGATCTCTGTGTCTGTGCTGTACCTCCCCACCCCACCCGCATGTCCCTCGCCCGTATCACCATAGGCAATGAGCCTGCCTGAACTTGCCGATGCTAAGAGGTACGCACCTCATGCTGGGAGACCTGTTTCTGCAACCATGTGGCCTCGTATTTGATCTCTGTGTCCGTGCTGTGCTTCCCTCACCATAGGGAAGGAGCCTGCCTGAACGTGCCAACGGTGAGAGGTACACACCTCATGCCTGAAGACCTGCTGCTGCACCCATGTGGCCTCGTATTTGATCTATGTGTCTGAGCTGTACCTCCCCACCCGGATGTCCCTCTGCCATATCACCATGATTTGAAGCCAACCTGAGACTGACTCTGCTGAACTGTGCGCACCTCATTCCTGGAGACCTGCTGCTGCACCTACCCACCACCCGCATATCCCACAGCCATATCACCATGAAAATGAGCCAAGCTAAGACTGACTCTGCTGTTTGCGCGCACCTCATGCCTGGAGACCTGTTTCAGCACCCAAGACGCCTCGTATTTAATTTCTGTGTCTGTGCTGTACCTCCCCACCCGCATGTCCGTCTGCTGCTCCACCACTGCCGCTTGCTGTAGTGAGGGGATGGAAGCAAGGGGATGGATGAATGCACAAACAAGAACGTGCCTCATTTGCATGGATGAACACGCAACCAAGATGTGTGATGACTCCCCACCCGCATGTCCGTCTGCTGCTCCACCATTGCCGCTTGCTGCAGGAAACAGTGGAAGCAAGGGGCCGGGTTTACAAACAATCATGTATCACATTGGCATGCATGAACACACAATCACGATGTGAGATGTACCCCACCCGCATGTCCGTCTGCTGCTCCAACACTTGCTGCTTGCTGCATGGAAATGTGGAAGCAAGGGGATGAATTCACAAACAATCTTGTGTCGCACTAGCACATACCCACACACAACCAGGAATTGTATCACAATTAGGGAACTGTAGCAGGAGTTCTGCTTATTTATGCATCTTTAAAATTCCAGAGTCCCGACAATCAAGCCAGTTTTCACTCATTGTTTGGCCGGATATTGCCACTCTCACTTGTCTTCCTGCACCAACCTGAATCACCAGAGCAACCGCTGGCACCAGAAAGAGACAGATCTTGTGAATCACCTCGAACGTCACCTTCCTAGTCTGGCTCCATCCTATCTATCCCCCAATCACCAGAGCAACCGCCGGCACCAGAAAGACACAGATCTTATGTGGTAAAATTGACTCACAGGTCACCTTCCCTGTCGAGCCCCATCCTATCCACCACTCTCATCTCACCCACCTGCTCCCCGCACCGACCTGAATCACCAGAGCAACCGCCGGCACCAGAAAGACACAGATCTTGCCACTCCTCTCTCGCATCTGACGGCGAGCCTGCATGCGAGCGTGAGGAAGGGAGTGAGTGGTAAGACACTCAGCAGCAGTAAGCAAGACTATTGAGAATTCTCAAAAGCAACCTGCAGCACCACTCCTCTCCCGCATCTGATGGCACGCCTGCATGAGAGCATGAGGAAGGAAGAGAGTGGTAAGACTATACCTATCACGTATTTCTAATTTGAGTGGTAAGACACTCAGCAGCAGTTAGCAAGACTACCATAGACGAGTGACCCAACAATTCCCAATGCAATGGCAAAGTTATGCTGCGTAAAAAAACGAACATCAACTAACCTCGTTTTTATTCTGACAATTGTATTCTGATTCAGGTAAAATTACCCAGATTCGACAAATGTCATGCAGATCCACACACTAATGTCAGTCAACGGCATTCTAAAACCCCTAATGCCCTTCTGTATCAGACCATGACCTCCGAATCAGCTTAATCCGTGCCTTTCATAATCAGACTCACCTGCATAAGCATGACGGCAATCAGAGTCTTCCCCATGCCGGTTTCCAGGTAGACAATGGTGTTGCGCTCCAGAGCCACCCGAAGAACCTCCTGCTGGTACCTGCAGAACAAAGCAGAGCAGTAGGTAGGTGGTAACAGGGAAAGTGAGCGGAGGCAGGTGGCATCAGACTCGTGACACATCTCAAAAGACGACGATGGTGTTGCGCTCCAGAGCCACCTGAATAACCTCCTGCTGGTACCTGCAGAACGAAGCAAAGTAGTAGGAAGTAACAGATTCAGATGTCTCAACAGTAGACGATAGTGTCCAGAGGCACCTGAAGATCCTCCTGCTGGTACATGCAGCAGAACGGAGAAAAAGCAGCAGGTGACAACAGAGAAAGTGAGTTAGAGAAGCGTAGCCGCTGACAACAGACTTCTGAGTCGTGTCAAAAGTAGACAATGGTGTTGCGTTGCAGAGCCGCCTGCAGGACGTCCTGCTGATACCAGTAGAACGGAGAGAAGTATAGGGTGACAACCCAGAAAGTGGGTAAGCGAGGGTAGCTTCCCCTTGAGTTGAACGACTTTTGAGGAAATTCAACAGCCTCAGATTTCGATTTGAGCGGGAAGTGAGTCGAATCGTAAGAGGGATCAACGAATGGAAAAGTCACGAGTGTCGAAAGCAAGATACGGAATTCTGAGGAGGAAATTCCTAGCGAAACGCCACCCACTGTCGCAGCTGCAGGATAATCTTCTTCTTTTTCTTCGTGCTCGCGGATTCCCGTCCCTTAGTAGTCCTCCTCCCCGTCCGCTTCATCATCCTTGCTGAGTCGTTTCCCAAGCCAGATCCCATGTCGTCTCCTTGGTGCTTGCTCCGTTTCTGTGCGTTCTCTTCCCCTCGCCTCGCCGTCTTCGCTTCTCCCTGAACCGCGTCCATCGCTAAACAAGGAGACGCAGGTCCGTCAAACATTGACGGAAAAAAATGGGCTACAGGTTTCCCTACTCTAATGTGCAAATCCTACGACGGAGAGACATATTGGAAGACGAAAAGGCAACTGAAGACGATGCAATTGAGACGATAATCGCTCCGCCACCATCTTCACAACGCCATGTCTACTCTCTCCACAGCCATCATCCTGCATGAACCGTCATTTAGGAACTTCTTCCTCGCTCTCTGCTTGCAAAACCGTCCGTAATTGATCAAACCAGTCACAGCCAGCCCTGAACTGAAACACATTTGATGTCGCTGACAAGCCATGGCTTGTCATGCTCGTTGACCCGTGTCAGTCTTCCACTCACAGTCATGCCTTGACAGTTGCATGCTGTGATGCACACTGCTGCTGCTCTCTCCCTTCCCTCGGCAAGCTTCGGGATTCTCGCTGTGATCGACGGCGGTATTCAGTTTCGCGCGCAATTTGGCGGCTCCGATGTGATGGAAATTTGGCTTCACATACAAGATTAGTTGCGACGACTATCGGATTGGAGTGTACCTTGTGTGTGCTTTTTCTCAAAACCAAACTGCAAAAAAGCGTAAGTTTAAAATTGATTCTAAACCAAGCATACACCAACTAAAGTGTTTTTGTGTTCTTGCACTCAAGAATGGCAAACGAGCCTAAAGAGCTGTCAACTTCCTACGGATCAAACCCCACCAAGCTATTCCCCGTTTCGATGAAACCACATGCTCACTCGTTTCAGTCTCTTCCTTTCTAACCGAATCAGGCCGCATTGATACATCTGCCCCTCTCTCCACCTCAGCTTCCACTCCAGCTACAACAACAGCTACAGCCGCATCAGCAGCAGGACAGGCTGTCACAACGTTCCCTGCACACACCTCCTCTCTCAGCCGATCCGTTTCATCCAAACTGCTCCTTCTCTTGGCAGCTTCAGTATGGTTACCCTCCACAAAGGTGCTTGATTGGGGAATGGTGCTGCTGCTGCCACTGATGCTTCTTCGCCCCTCTCTTTTCAACTTGGAAAGAGGCGACGAGAACCATCCATTCCCCTTTTCTCTCAGGAAGGCTTTGGAGCCAGACTTTTGAAACAAAATGGGGTTGCCTTTCCCTGAATGAACTTCGCCGTTGCTGCTGCTGCCGCTGCCAGTGCTATTTTGAGCTCCACTATCTAGGCCGCGGGTGGATGATGCAGAGGGAGGTTGACAGTGGGTACCATTTCGGATTTCTGTTCCAGGCTTGAGTCTAAATTCAGTGCATGTGACAGCTGAGGTTGGCCTTGATGGATCGTCCTTAGAAGCTTCTTCAACACCTGCAAGGCTGATTTCCCCACTCTGAATGCTGTTAGGAGTAGCAGTCTCTTGGCATTGATCTTCTGGGTCTGCTTGCAGAGAACGGACGAAAAAAACAGGGGAAGATATACGATTGGAGGAAGAGGTAGAGTTGAACGAACTGCACACAACAGGCAAAAGGAAACTGCATACTGGATGTAGTATACAGTGTAAGGGGTGTAGCTCACTTCCAGGATCTATACATCTGAAATTTCACGCATGCTTGTTCAGTTTGTTGCACAGTGTTCTCTTACATGGAATCAGGCACGCGAAAATAAATGCAGCAGTGCATTTCACACAAGGCAGAGGATGAGGGTCATTACAAGGCACAGGTCCGGCTACTGGCTCGGAGGCTGCTCCTGACCTTGCCTCGTGCTCGCAGGCTTGGCGAACTTAGACCCTCCCGACAAGAGCCAGCCGAAATACTCCGTATCTGTTACAACCAGGCACATGTCACCACCCATCCGGTTAAGAGCAACAATTGGATGAAATTACAGGTGGCTATCAGTTTCAACTTGCAAGAAGAATGGAGGAGAAGCAGAAGGGAGGAGCGGACGGGCATGAGCATGAGCACGAGCATGGGCATGGGCATGGGCATGGGCATGGGCATGCGCAGTGGCACGGCCATGGGGGCATGGACATGGGCATGGGCAGGGGCATGGTCATGGGTATGGGCATGGGCTGGGACTGAGGAAGGCGAAAAAGACGCTAGGGGCAGGGGCTAAACGTCTTACGTAGTGTATGTTTGTTGGTAAAGTGTTACAACTTCTCTCTATGCAGTTCCATTGTTGAGGCTTACCTGCATATTCCGAATCCTCTTGACCAACCCCGAGCTTATCCATAACCGCGGCCTTTCCCTCCGATTTCTCCCCGGACCGCATTCCGCCGAGCGGTTTGATCTTCGGCACAGCTGTCGATTTCGCCAGCTCTGCCAACTCGGGGTAACTTTTCGATCGCGATCTTTCCAGTTTCGCCGGCTCTTCACGAGCAGGAGCGTCCGACGAAACCCTCGGCGAAGTTCTGTGGTCGTCAACGTAGCTGCTGTAACTGCTACCTTGATATGGCTGCATGAATGCCGAGTCAGCATTCCCCGCCGCGTTCGCCGCTCCTCTGTTCGCACCCCAGACGCGCATCGCGGCAAGAACTTCCGACGTTTCGACATTCACCGAACCGCGCGACTGAGGCTTCTTGTCCGCATTTTCCAAGGCGCTCACGCTGTTACTTTTTCTCATCTCGCTCTTCTCGCTGGTGTCCACTTTCGGCGCGTCGTTTACGTTTACTGCTGAGTTCGTTTCGTCCTTAATCGTCAGCCCTGCGACATCTGCGACAGCCTCGGCGACGTGATCCGGTTTCGCATGGTCGGAATAAGAAGGAAACATCATGTCTTCTACCCCCGAAACGTTTGTAACCCCGTTGTCTCCAACCGAAGTGGAGTTTTCGCCATCAGCCAGGTTACCACTCTGCGAGTTGTCGCCCGACGTCGTCAAGAAGCTGTCCAGCGTCGCGTTCGCGTTTGTACTCGCGGCAACCCGATTGCGAATCTTTTGCTTCGGGGGGGAAGAGCCCGTCGCAGAATCCGATGCATCTGAGTCCACTATTTGCTGGTGCCGCGCCGCCTTCAGGTGCTGCGACGCCGTCTTGAGGTGCATTGGGTCGACGACGGTCGCCGGCGCCGCATGGCGACGGGAATGGTGGTGCGACGACGACGACGACTTGTGCGACGCAACGGGAATGTCGGCGATGGAGAGGAGCTCGGAGAGGATTTCCTTCTCGGATGACTTGTGCGACGAATGTTTGTGCGACGAATGCTGGTGCGATGAAGGGTCGGCAGCTTCAGCTGCGGCTGGTTCTCGCGCGCAGTCTGCAGAGGGAGCTTGTTCCGCCATCAGGTATTAACTCAGAATATCTCCTCGAGCTTCGCTCTGCAAATAAATCAATGTGATAAGGGCGCGAGCTGGTCGTTACCGAGAAAGGAAGGTAATGAAGGCGGCGGAACTGATGAAACTTGCAGTTGAAGAGGAAAGCTTGGATAAAAGATTGGTGTGTTCCCATTTTGAAGCAGCCCGAAGAGTTGTGAAAGTGAGCTTGCAAGAACGGCGGCAAAGTCCGGACTCGAAGGCTGTGCACGGTAGAATCGCTTTTTGTAATGTTGCAGTACGGTTCTACGGTGCAAAGATCTTCCCATCCGAAACCAAGGGAATATGTACCGCTCCACACAGCCTGAGGGAGCAGACTGTACAGATGACTGGACAGATGAGGGGCGGATCGAGCTGGACAGCTCATCCTTGGTTTAAGGACTGGCTGACGTGGGGTGGATATGGTGGGGCGGTGATGGCAGAACGTGTAACAGATTTTTGCGATCCATGGCATGGGCTTGCCTTGTGGAGGAAAATCTGAATTTTATTTTCCGAATAATCGTTTTTACTGCGATGTTCATTCTGGTTCGACGACTCAAGATGCGCTTGCGAGCACACACTGGAAAGGTGGATTGGATTTGGTTTTCCCGCTGAACGAAAATAGCTTTTACAAAAGAAGTTGAAAGGCTCGTGCGCTCTTGAGCGTTTTGGGACGATTACCCCTTTGTGTGAAAATATTATGGGTCCTAAAACCTTTCACACAACCCTAAAACATTATAGGTTCAAGTGCATTTGCGCTTGCTGGTGAACAAAGATCTTCGTGTCCCTGGTAGAGAATAGACCTCGTCTTTCGCCGCCAAACCCGGGCCACCGTCCACAGCCGCATTTCTCCTAACCTCACGTTTTTCTCGTGTGGCGAGGCGACACATTCCTAAGCGCTGCTGATCCTCAGCAAGGATTCGATGAATTGTCGCCACAACCTCGTTATCTCAATCGACTGCAAGCGGGTGGTTCCTTCTTACGAAGCATTCTGTGTAGTTATGCCTGTCACTGAAGTAGCAGTGTAA